CTGAAAATTGAACCAAATACTGAACACTCATTTAAGGATGTTCCTCTATTTGCCAAGTAACTTTGAGCATTCAGGACAATGTTTTTCACTACTGATTGGGCAGAAGGCGAAAAAGCCTCAAACAGGAAGGGAATTGGAGAAGAGATGCATGTTGGAAACTACTTCAGCTGTCAGACAGACACTTCTTTCCTCCCCTCCCCTCCCCTTGTCTTCCATTGTTTTTTTTTCTTTTTGGCACTCAAATGTATAATCCAAGCCAACCACAAAACACCATTTGCTGCCTCCCTATAATCCTCTCCAAGACTTACCTATCAAATATAATTAAAGGAACTGAACTAGTTTACAAGTTCAAACCAAACTTTCATAATCTGTCTTATCTTCTCCATCTGTCTTACCTACTGTGTCTAGGTAAGATGCACATTTTTCTTAATCCTGGGAAAAACAGAATGAATTGATTTTATGTTACAGTATTTCTTTGTTTCTTTTAACTAGCAAAAAAAAAAAAAGTCATGGATGTTCCAGGATTCATTAAGAATCCATCATCATGAGCCACAACAGGCAGGAGAAGGTAAAGAAGTATATGAAGCTCTGCTTAAAATAAAATTTATAAAAGTTCCCATGCTATACCAAGCAATCCAATGTTGGTTTGGATAATAAGTATTCATATTTACTTAGTAGGTCTATGGAATTAAACTGATTCTCCCATTTTCATTTTTATTTTAACAATTTTATGGATAATAACAAAAATTCAGAATTATATTGGGAATTTACCAGAGGTGATATTGAGCAGGTTCTGACCAGTTCTGGAGAACTGTAGCATAAATTTTTGAGTTTGGACAACCGATAAATACTACCTCCGACTGGCCCTGCTCTCATCTTTTCTCTGCCTCCCAAGTCCCAGCTGATTGGGAAGAAATGAGGATTTTGCAGTAACCTTGCCCAAAAATTTTACAGTATACTTTCCCTGCCATGCCACACCCACCAAGCCATACCATGCCACGCCCACCAAGACATGCCCACAGAATGAGTAGTAAAAAGTTTCGGATCCCACCACTGGAATATACTACTTACTAACTTATTCCCTTTGCATGTGACTTTATGAAGGAAAAAAATACCAGATATTTACTAATTATTCTTATCCCAAAAAGAAATCATGTTTCTTTTGGAAAATTTAAGTATTATTTAATTGTTGCATTGGGACATTAAATTCAAGTACATTGTAAAATATAAGAAATGACACAATGCATTCTTCAATTTTTGCAGATTCTCCTTTCTGTTTGCCTGCCTTTCTTTCTTCTTTGAATAGTAATATCCACCAATGTAGCATTCCCTTCAGGATTCAATCACTTTTTCTTTAGAAGAAAATTATAATTTATATTTATTATCATGCATATTAATAAATGTATAAAATACATTCCATTTCTCTCTACCTTGTATTCACTTCGATGCTGCTTTGTCCTTCACTACTTACACTATATAATAATGTTTTCTGTAACCTAGGAAATAGTATTCCATCCCTGAGGGTTTGGTGATATTTTCCATTTTGATGAATATTTATGAGAAAATGAAAATATCTTCTTAGATAATGTAGTATTTTTCTAGCACAGAATTCTTAGTAATATTTTTATTGGAAGTATGTATTTTCTTGCCTTTCTACTATTTGGTTAGGGCAACGTTTCTCAACTTTGGTGACTTTAAGATGTGTGGTCTTCAACTCCCAGAATTCACCAGCAAGGCATACTGACTGAGGAATTCTGGGAGTTGGAAGTCCACATATTTTAAAGTTACCAAGGTTGAGAGACACATGTTTCCATTATAACCAATTAACAACATTACTTAGCTATTTTCGAATGATTTGACTTTTAATTTATTATACTAAATTGGAAGACTTGCATATTGGTCATAAAGCAAGTACTATATTATCTTGAAATTTTACTTTAAATTAGTAATTTTTATTTACTTGTCATGAAAGTAGACTGATGAATTACTTGAAAACTCATTCTTTTCTGTAGGTGAATAGTCCTGTCTAAATTATGAAGACTAAAAATAATAATAAGAGGGTAGGACAAGAAGCAATGGGCGGAAACTAATCAAGGAGAGAAGCAACTTAGAACTAAGGAGAAATTTTGTAGCAGTTAGAACAATTGATCAGTGGAACAACTTGCCTTGAACTTGTAAATGATCCAACACTGGATTTGCTGCAGAAAAAAAAGCTTTTGTGACAGGAACTGAACATCACAAGAATGACATGAAATGTAAAGTTTTGAATGAAAGAAAGAAGAAAGAAAAAGAAAGAAAAGAATAAAGAAAGGATTAAAATATAAGAAAATTAAGAAATGAGTTAGAAAACAATGACAAATACTAATTTGTTCATGTGTAACATTTACAAATGTAATGTTTCCTGTATTTTAAATGGTATAATCTAAGAGATCTAAGCTTGTTAATTAATGCTGAACATGTGAGTGCATGACCAACAGCAGTAGCAAAAAACTCACATCCAAAGTATTCTATGTGCACAAGATTAAAAAACAAAAAACCTAATAGGATTTTTCATTTGAATACATTGTTGAAGCATCTAATGTTTATCCTTTAATTTCAGTTAGAATTAGACTTAATACATGGTACTAAAACTATAATTATGATTATCATCATATTTTTACATGGAAGAAATGAATTGCTACCTCATCATGATTGGGTGTATTTTTTCCCATTCATCTACCTACATGCAGATAACTACTAAAATCTAAGGGACCTCCTGGATATATATTTAAAGAAGCTTGAAAATTAATCATAATGTAGTGGTTTTTCCATTAATATCAAAAATTACTATTAATATGCTTAGTGTTAATAGTTGACTTGCAAAAGAAAAAATCTTAAAATAACAAATATGCTGTTATCTATTGGTTCTTTTAGTCTTACTTTTTTATTCTTTATTCTTACCTTCTAAACATGAATATTAAATAGCTGGATTAAATTTGGAAACCTTATTTACAATATTGCATTTAAAAATAATAATTACAAAATAGGTATTTATCTATACATTTTCATTATTAGTATGAAAAGCTGCAGTTAGGGAAAAAAGCTGTATGTGAATAAATGGCAGTATAAAAGTTAAGCTTTAATGCAAGTTTCTTTAAAAAAAAAAAGTTACTATCGCAAAATAATGGCAAGCAATAAACCTTTCTGTTCCTCTGTTCCTTGCATGACCAAAACAGATTCATTCAGGATTTATTGATAGCGATATTTTGCTTTCAACATTCCAAGATTGATAGCAATATTTGAAGAGAATATAGGTATATCATGAGCACAAGTACAATATAAGTACAGTCATTTAAAAATATTGCTCTGCAGGATGTAATACCATTTCCCCCACTCAAATGACTATTATCTTTTGTAAAGATACAATTATATTGAACTTTTTTTTCAAAACTAGTTTATATTTGAATGGCAATAAAAATGCTTATAGTCTAATACATTTCTAATGCAGAGATATCACATAGTAGATGGAAATACCAGCTTTTCTGGAAGCAGATTTATTTATTTTTAAATATATAATGCTGTCTCCAGAGAAGCAGCCACAAAGTGCAAGTTTTGTCTTAAACTTGATCACATTACAATTAATAGAAAATATAGACATTATTGTATTTTAATGTTGGTCTTCTTAAGATAGTTGAAGTCAGCAAGAATAAGAAAAACATATCTGTCCTTCGTCCTTAACTGCATGAGTGTTTACAATCTCTACTTTAGATGTTTCCCAGTCAACTGAGAAATACCACCTGAGGGCCTTCAAGCTTGGAAGAGCAAATAATTTGTAGTAATTTGCACTTGTTCTGCACAAGAAAAAGCATTAGGCAATACAAAGATTTAAACATTTGCAAAGTGTGTCCATAATCAGGCCATTGGCTGCTCTAAAGAACAAACAGATGCATCACACATCTAGTCTTATGTATCTCATGTTCTTTTACTCAATAAAGCTTGCAGATTATTATGAAATATCACTTGAACCTTGTAGCCAATTTTGTTTGAAGTAAACAAGTGTGCTATTATTCTATTATACTTTTATGAACAATTCACACCTTAAATTTTCTCCTTCTATTTTCCATCTTTAATGAACATTCTCCTAAGGTACAGATACTCATTTACATGTTTGCACAATCATATCAATGTTTCTTTTTGCAACATATTTTAATCAATCCACGAATATTAGATATTTTATTTCTATGTCATTTATACAATAAATTGATTGTTCGGGAATATTGACATGGAAACATTTTGCATAGAATACACAAGTTTAGCTATAGATGTAGGTGAATAGTTTCTATTCCTACTGTATGCTATTTTAGCTGGAACAAAATCCTCTGAAAACAGTGAAGATAAAAATCCCTTGGTTAGTTATAATATTGTGGTACATAGACTAAACCACAAATATATTATTACAAGACTTTTTTCTTGCTGGAATTATGGCCCAGAAATATATACAAATCTCATGTAACTATTGACAATATGATTCTATTATCTGAGTCCAAATAAAGACATTTATGATCCTTGGAACAAATCCCACGAATACAACCTAAGGTTACACAGTAAATCATAGCAAGATCTACACTATCTGTAATTTCTTTCATTAAACATATAACTTAGTCATAGTTTAATGTTTGTTTTATCAGAGCCATTAATTCTAAGCAGTTTCATCCAGTGCTTACTATACTTTGCTACCTTTATTTTCCACCAGAAATATCATGAGTATTCCTGATGTTTTAGAATTAAACACTCATCATTCCCAAGGATCATGAATACACGAACTCCCACATATTTGGGAACTCTAGGCTGAAGAAGGTTAATAAGTCATTTGTCCTATGCATAAATCAGCATATTTTGGTAATATAGAAAATAATCTGGAAAAATATCTGAAAATCCTAATGGTGAACAAATAATCCCAATTAAAATATACGTAGCTATAGTTAATCGTATTCTCTTGGGGAACCCAAGAGCTTTGACATACATAAAATCTTCTTTGCTCACAAGCAAAAGGGCCATGCAAGGCATAATAAGATGCAAATGTGGGAGTTGGTGTCTCCATTAAAATAAGCAAACAGTACTTAGTATTAAAATATTTCTCCTTTTCCTAAACAGGATAAAAAAATATCTTCCTCTTATTTATAGAGCAGAGAATATGCTTCAAAATTCAAATAATGTTTACCTTGGACATATGGAAGTAAGACAGGAAATTTTTAAATATTTAAAATTTTCATTTATAAAGGCAATAATACTTAAAAGCTACCATGGAATCAAGATGCTATATTTAATACGTGTGTGTTTCTGTCCAGCAGTTCATTTATAGATAACTGCCCTGAGTAAAAGCTAAATGCTGCTTAGCAAAATGGATTTCAAAATTAAAACAACAGCTGCAGTAATATAAAAGTTCATAAAACTATTCAAAGTAATGCAATATATTTCAGGCATATTGAGTTTGTATTAAGAAGAAAAATGGCTCCAATCTTTACTTATTCATACGCACATTTTATGCTGCATACATAAGAAAACCAGGAATATGTTCAGAAGATTTAACTGTGCTTGATGGAATGTTACAGAATTCTTTACCAGAGATTGCTAAAAGACATGGTTTGAACTAGTGAAACTTTTTTTTAACCTCAAAGACTTCATAAAATACTGTTGCTTTAAACAGCATTCACATCTTTTTTTAACTGCTCCCCAAAACCACATGGAATGGCAGTTAATAAAAGATGAACACAGTTCATAACATCAGATCTCAGTCATTATTCTCTGGTATCTTTTAATATGATGCAAATATGTAAACTTTATCCTTTGATAAGCCTTACATTCCTTAACTGAGTCCTAGCAATCATCAAGCTATTGCATGCCCCATTCAAGAAAAATATGTTTGTTGGAACTGTGTAGCTTAAAAAGTTACATTTCCAAAACTTCTTCACCTAGAGCTTTCTTTAAATTATATTAATTTAAAATATCTATTGAATGATTAAAAAAAAAAGAAAACGGAACAAATTAATTGGTTTCTTTTATGAAATGACTCCTTATAGTAAGTAAAAAAAAAAAAAGATTTATCACAGTTTTGGCAATTTGTGTAAGTTCTTATTGAAACAATCTTCACATGTTCTTAATCGAATGGACACTGTTGTGCTCTTGGTCCTTTCACTGGTATGACCTGAAGCAGTAGACTCCATATAGCTTGTGCTTTTTATCCGGAAAGCCCACCAAGCGTACTGCTGCTTCATTAGGGCTACAGCGTTTTCTTGGCTTGGAGATGGGATATCGGACACTGCCATCAGCCAGCCAGCCAGCATCACAGCGGTCATATCCTAGGAGTTTCCAGGCTGCATACATTTGGCCTACTTTAGCAATCTGTGCACCATCGTTGATGCAGGCTTGCACAGCTTCATCATAGGTCAGCTTGGTCGGGTGTATTAGGTAATAAAAACGGCCTGATGGAATATAGAAAGGTTATAATATATTTGAAAAAAAAGTTATGCAATTAAAATACATTTTAAGGATTCATAAAAAAAATTCCATTATATTTATTAAGTGTCTGTGCGTGTAAAACAATTCAAAGCTATAGTTACTATAGTTATCCCTAAAATTATAGGGGGAACACTGCATTCTTTCAATAAATGTGCAGACTTTTTCTACTGAGAAGATTAAATTTTCTACTATACTTACAGAAGGGTAAGAAGTGATACATCCTTTAATACTATTGTGTAAAAGAGATCACTGAATCTTTACCTAACTGAAATTTGCTACATTAATATATGTACCATTATACATAAACACTTGTAATTATATAAATCATCCCATTTCAATACTGTAGCATACTATAGAAGAGACAAGGACTGCAACAGACTTAAATCAGCAGAAATGGCTCTTCACTTCATATATACTGTATGACGTAACTGCTCAAGGTGCTTCTACGTGGCTTTTCACACTGTCATTAATATGTGAATATTTCATTCACATTGGAGAATACTATGTCTCTAATTTAAATAATTCTGGTTTTGATCTTGAGGTTTGGTGCAATTAATTTTATACTATATTCTCTAATACTTTCAGTCCAAAGGTACAAATGCATGGTACAATTTTTTAAAAATAAAATTTGAACCCAGGCCAGTCTACATGACTGAGGCCTCTTCTAAACAAAGTAGTTTTCATGGTCCAATAATCCCTGATTATTTCTCCATTGATCTGCAAGGCTATTTTGAAGAATCAAAGGACACACTTCTTTAAGACAGCTCAGAATTATAGGCAGGGGTGGGCTTCAAAAACTTCAGCAAAGGGTTCTCTGCCCTTGTTGTTGGCATGCCTCCTGAACCACAGTGAGGGGAGAGTTTCAACCTTCCCTGAAATCCAGATGCTTTCCTTGAGCCTCTGGGAGAACGAAAACTGTCTCCCCCAGGCTCTGGAGGCCCTCTGGGGCCGGAAATGGGCCTGTTTCCAGTCTTATGGAACTTTCAGGAGGCCCATTTCTCCCCTTCCCCAAGCTTCTGCATGGGCCCTGCACTTAACTCACATCCAAAACAGGCCGCGTGGAGACTCCTGAGAGGGGTGGGTGGGAGCAGTGGGGTGGGGTAGGCAGGGCCAGATAGTGAGATTTGGAGGTTCTCTGAACTGACCATAATGTTAGCTATGTGTTCTCCCGAACCCAGGCAAACCCATAGCAATACACCCCTGATTATAGAGGAAAGGGGGAACTATAGAAAACCAACACCTCTCCCTTTACCTAGGAAGCAGATTCAATAGCCTTTAGGGAAAGGCAAATTAAAACCTTATCTCTTGTTTGAAGCCTTTTCTCAAAGCCCAAATGATGTGCAAACTACATTATTTATATGGGATGGGATCAGACTTATGAGAAACTGAATTTTCATTATAAACAGTGGTCTGTTTCTTTGGCACTCATTGTGCGTATTTATTTCCACAAATTTCCACAAATCTCAGATAATGCTTAAATGGCACAAGATTTATTTGCCTCAGTTCAGTCAGCCACTTATGGAACTGAAATAGCTGGATCTGCATCAGGTAAACATTTGTACAATGTTTAAAGCCTATTTGTTTTGGAAATGCATTCTTCAGGATTGCCCAATGAATAGTCATGTTTACTGTTCTCATGTTCTAAGGCAAATAAATTTTATTGTGAATACTCAGAGCATATGTATGCAGAACAAGGGAGCATCCCTTTGTGTGTAGAGCTACAAGCCAAACATCTGTTACTCAAGAGGCATACAAGTTAGGACACACATGAGATGCGTGGTTCTGAGTTATCCAACTTCCTGCTGAAAGGAATGGTCTGTCATGTTAGCTTCCTTGCTTTCTCTCTTGTGTGTTGTTGTTAGTTGCGAAGTCGTGTCTGATCCATCGTGACCCCATGGACAATGTTCCACCAGGCCTTCCTGTCCTCTACTATCCTCTGGAGTCCATTTAAGCCTCATGCCTACTGCTTCAGTGACTCCATCCAGTCATCTCATTCTCTGTCATCCCCCCGCTTTTTTTTGCCCTCAATCTTTTCCAGCAATAGGCTCTTCTCTAGTGAGTCTTGTGTAGATAAGTGTTTTTCTGTTAATTTCCCCAGAGATAGTGGCATTGTTTTCTTACATTACTTTAATATTGTCAGCATTGTTTTCTGTTTAAAATGTAACATTTTTTCTATTTCTAACCTACATTTACATTCTGAGTCAACAATTTTCATTTAGCATTAATTTTTAGCAACCTTGTTGCATATGAATTTTTTACTAGGAAAAATAGAGGAATATTTTTCAAGTTTGTAAGATATAAGTATATAAGAAGTTTCATATCAAGTATCAGTCCCTGAACTTCTCTGAGTTATATCAAGTAAATGTTGTTAACTAGCAAGCAAGGATGATGGACTATGCAAACATAACATGGGAGTAAAATTTCTCATTCACGATCTCTTCCACCAAAATGGTGGAATAGGTGAACTTCACAGAATTGACCAGGGAGGAAAAAATAATTCTGCAGTATTTAAGAGCTCTAGCACTCATTTTTCTTCTGATGTTATAGTACTGATTCCTGAAGAATTCAATACAGATGCTAGAGCTCAGGGCAACATGTCTTTCTAAACCAGGGAGAAGCAAAGAATCGGTGTCTAGCTTCACCCTTCTTTCAAAAAAGATCTCTGTCTCTGATCCTTTTAAAAAATAACAATTGTGAGATGCTTGAGTCCATTTCTTTGTATGGAAATGTGCTCATCTGCCTTGGAAAAGAAACAATGAGAAGTTGAGAACTTAGCCATCATGTTGGGGTACTGCAGGTCATAGCTGTGAGCAACATTATTGAGATGCCTTGTGATCAGCTATCCCACAATAGCAGCCATTTGTGAGAGAATTATTATCACATTAATATTCCAAAGAAGATCAAGAAATTGCCTTCTCCTGTTATAACAACAACTCTGTCGTGGTTCCATGATCTAATGCTTAATCTTTTTAAATGGAAGAATTGATGAACTGAACTGAATTTGAACTGAAACTGAATTGGGGACTTTTTGCAAGTAAAACACATTGAACATCTGAGCTACAATTCCTGCTGAAATAAATACAAATTAATATGTAATGTCACACTACACTGCAGAGAACTTCCAAGGAGTCAAATTACTTACCAGTAAAATGAGAGGTAAAACAAAAGACATCATATTTGTTTTGTTCTTTATTTGAGAAGCCATAATTCCGGATTCCAGGCACTGTGTTCTTCCCACCACAAGGGTCTCTGGGATTTCTAATTGGATATTGCGCTGACCCATCGTTGAGCCAGCCTGCATTGCACCAGTCCAGTCCTGACCTCCATGCATCATATAGCTGGTCAAATGAAGCTATAACTGCATCCTGGTCGAGGCAGGCTTGCTGAGCTTCATAGAAGTTTAAATTATAGCGACCCAGTCGTGGGAAGTAAGGGAATACAATGCCTAAAAGAAAGCAGAAGAGGAAAAGATGCCTGCTTAATTAATTAATTAATCAAGGGAGGACAACCCACCTCTGGCAGGATGCCCACGGTCTTAAGCCTTCATTTTGCACTATGTTCAGATCATACAGTAGAATTCAGTAGCAAGTTTACTTATTTTTCAGTGGCACATTTTCCCCCCCTAAAAACAAAATCAGCCCCAAAATGTTAATATTGCAGCAGTGCTGAAAATGAGGCTTATAGTTGGAACATAAATGGTACTCTCCCCCAACTGAAAGGCATTTCACAAATGACAATATAGGTTAGAATAGATGGAAGAAGAATGGAGATCTTACCATCACCAAAGCAAATTTTATATTTGGGAATGCTGCCTAACTATTTAGTCTAAGAGTTTTGTCTTACTTCTCTTAAGACCAGTGGTGGGTTCCAGATCCTGTTCCAACTGGTACGGTTGGAATGGGTCCAGCTTCATCCAGATGGACGTGCGCAGCACACACACACACACACACACACAGTGCGCACGTATGTTGTAGATGCCAGCAACACTTCTGCAAGCCTCCCTGATGCTCCAGCTGCTCGTCAGAGCATTGCGCAGGTGCTATATGCACCATGCACCTGCGGCGTAGTGCCAAAGGCTTTAAAGGACAGGTAAGGAGCTCAGGTGGGCAGGTGGGCCCTCCAGAGCACCATACTGGAACGGTATCCGGTGCTCCAGGTAGGCTCCGGTACGCCCATACCGGGCATACCACCTGCAACCCACCACTGCTTAAGACCATATATTGAAGCTCACTCTTTCCTGATTGAATACCACCAATTCTTTATGCAATAGTCAAATGTGGGTTTTCACCTATCAGATACATTATTTTGCCTTTGTTGCTTCATTATTAGCATGCTTGTTTTAAAGAGCAAGTAAGAAGATGGATTGTTTGACTTTGGCACATGAACTTTACGAACGGCCAGAAAGGTTGTCATTTGATATGAATTGGAACGGGAAACCTACAAATAAGCTTTAAATTTGGATTTATCTTTAATGCTATTTCCCCAAACAAAATACACTGGTAGCTATTGGCTCTAACTGAAACTTAATTTCTTTCCCTAGTTGCTGTAAGTGAGAAGGCCCTACAAATATAGTAAGACTGTACACCAGATCAAACCACCCAGTCAGGATTGTTGAAACTGGCCTAGTATGTGAGTAAAACTTCCATTTCCTTCTTAAAATTGATTTTTTCTCTCTGAAATAAGACGCTTGATTTAAGAAACAGAATGGAAGAAATGTAGAATATAAACACTTAAAACAGCTACATAGGTAGCTTCTATGGCTAAGTACATTCTCCAGCCAAAATATTTTTCTTCCCATCAAATTCAGGCTGTTTAGACAGAACTATCCAGTACAAAAATGCCTTAAATCTTCAGTCTTGTAGAGCCTCAAGATTTTGTTTTCTTAGTGGTAGGTCTTCTGATCTGTTACAATTGTTTCTCTATATGTTGTTTTTCTCTTTTGTAAGCTGCCCAGAGTTGTTCAGAAGTCAGGTTGCTTTGAACTTGATTTCAATATATATAGAACCTGAAGCAAAGATGTTTTGGATTTAATAACATGTGCAGAGGGCATATTTACGCAATCTAGATTAGGATTCCATAAAGACTTTCACTTACAAACAAGGCCTTCTTCCTTTGTCCCAATGTTATGGAAACATTCTGTATGATGTTAGGGACAGTGCTAGTTACCCTAAAGTCTTAAATTCAATTAAATTATTTTATAAAGCTTGTAGAAAACAATAAACAAAGCTCCCTTAAAAACTTCTGCAGAAATAAAATGTAGGTTAACAGACTTAATTTATCCAATAATATTCCTTATTAATTAAAAAAAATATAATTTGGCTGGATTCTGATAGATGGTTATATTGAGAAATGAAAGCTATATTGTCTGAACAACGGTAATAGCAATATTTTTAATGAACAATTTATGTTTAGTCAGGAAGCTTACCATCCAAGTCTAGAGTTACAACAGCTGAGTCATCTTCTAAACCTTCAATGACTTCACATTTGTATTTCCCATAATCCTCCAGCATTAAATTTGAGATGACCAAAGAGGCATCATTTTCAGTGCTTTTCTTCAAGAATACCCTTCCTTGGTAATTACCATAACTTTTTTTGTGGTAGCCCATTTCAACATAGACATCCACTTCTTTGAGGTAATCTGAAGTGAGTTTGGTCCACTTGACACGAACTCTATGGACTCCTGAGACAGGTAATGTATTGTCACGGTAAAATTTACATGGCAGAGTAACACTTCCACCACGATTTGAGAAGATTTTTGTTTGTTCTGCTTTCACAAGAAGATGAGGTGCATTTTCTAAAACATGTTGGAAAAAAAGAAAACAGTGTTAGGAATGGCTGAAGTATACTAAACTGTTTCAGGGATGAAAATAGTCACATTCCTAGGCATGTAAAAATCTATGGATATGTACACTATCTCCTTCTCTCTCTTTCCTCATGCCTATCAGTCATGAAGATATAAATGGCTAACAATGTGAACATATATGCATTAACTTCTTCAACTATCTCCTTCAAAATTCAGACATGATCCAGATGCTACATTTTATTATGCAAGATAGTATTCTTGATCTGAAAAGCAGATCTTGTACTTGAGATAATAATGTTAGGAAGATAGTGATGTTGTTATTTTTGTTGTTGATGATGATGATGAAAAGTAAGGATCAACAGATAGATATGTCACACTTGCAGAAAACCATCTTCAAATTATAGTATACCCTCCTATGCAAGATAGAACATGTAGGTCTATAACACTTCCTGAAGCCTAAGGCAGATGAATCACTATAAGGAAGGAACCCCCAAAGTAGACCTAGTTTCTGAGAATGCTTACTTCCAAGACCCCATCAATGACAACTGAATAGAGAAAGGACTTGGAAAAAACTGACCTAATTTGACGTGGTTGGTTTGGTCAATAAATATAGCCAAGGCAGTCCCTCAGATAACCAGATCTGAAGCCATATAAGGTACCAATTGATTTCTGAGTGTAGCTTAAGGTGACAACCAGCATCTTGAATTATATCCTCAAACTCTGTGGTAGCCAATGTTTCTCTTGAATTAGCAGGTGTCACTGATTATATCAAGATACATTCATCATTGCCTGGGCTTCCACATTTTCTACAAATTGTAACTACTGAATCTTTTTTAAAGATAGCCCTAGGTAATATATCTTATAGTAGCCCAACTTCAGAGCTTCTTGCACTTCATAGTCTTCCAAGATGGTTTGAGAAGATGGTTTGAGACCATTACAATACCTTGTAAGAATTTGATGTCCTTTCATGACACCTGAAATTAATTCCAAGAAGTGGTATCCTTTTTTGGGGGTGGGGAGTGCCTTCAAGGCAGTGTTGACTCATGGCAGATGCCTAGGCTATTGCCTGAATTTTTCTTGGCAAGGTTTTTCAATACTGGCTTGCTATTGCCTCCTTCCTCGAGCTGAGAAAGAGTGACTGACTCAAGGTCACCCAAATGGCTTCATGCTTAAGATGGACTACAACTCATGGCTTCCTAGGTCTGATGCCTTAACCATTACACCAAACTACCATATGCTGGGCAAAAGGAATATAACTTGTTTGTTAAATTAATATTCTAAAAAACTGTTTTTTCCTTAACATTTTGTTTTCATTTATTAGTATATGATTCATTTTTTCCACTAATTAAGTTTCAGTGATTCTCAGTCACATCAATATGTGGTGAAAGCTTGCATGCAAATTATATTTTAAACAATCACAAAATTCAAAGGGTCTCACTGAGTCATAAGTATTATATAATACACATTTTTGCCTTGGGGAAAACTGAAATTCCCAATCTGAATATGGCAGTCAGCCGCAATATCACCCTGATTATACTTTCTCAAATATTTTACAAAAACTCTGAACTAGGTTGAAATACAACTGTCTTTTTATCATTAGAATAAATCTGCTGAAGGCAGAATGCATAAAAAACAATGAATTTGTTGTATCCAGAAATTATCAAAGTCATTTATTATTATTTCTGCTGCTGTATATGAGTGAATAACAACAATAGTAATAATAGTGATTCATTTCAATTGTCATTATTAAACCCTTTCTCCCATATAGAAATTTTGATTTGGGAATAAGTTCCAACTGATTTTGGTTGAATAAATTATTCATTTACAATTGGACAGTGATGTGGAGGTAGAATATAAGTTAAGAAAATATTGGAAATTTGTAATACGAAAGAACAATAAAACTTGTCCAGAAAAGAGCTTTGACAGAGAATAACAAAGGAAACCATTCTGATCCACATCTGTCAATTAAATTTGAAAAGTTTGGAATGGTTTCCTGATATTGGTAGAAATGAATCCTTGATTACCTTTGCTTTGTATGGGAATACAGTAAGTAGTAAAAATAATTCACCACATGTGATTTTAAGAAACTTTAAGCCTGGACTTTTTATTGCTTGCATAGTGCATTATAAGAATGTTGGCAAATTAAAGCTTTTCAGAATTGTCACAATGGTCTAAAATCTAATCATTAGATAGGTATGCTACTCTGCACGTATATATAAGAGACCAACTGATATAAAAAAAATGTGATAATACAGGGAGTGATAGAAAAGTAACTCTGAGACCAATGTTGCAGGTCTGTAAAGCAAAGAAAACCTAAAGTAAAACTATAAGCATATTTAGTGAAAGTTTCAGTGAATGACCTATTTATATTTCATTAATGATTTCCTTCTTTTCCTTCCTTCCTTCCTTCCTTCCTTCCTTCCTTCCTTCCTTCCTTCCTTCCTCCTCTCCCTCCCTCCCATCCTTCCTTCCTTCCTTCCTTCCTTGGCATTCAGGAAGAGTGTAGTTATAGTAAACAGAAACACTGAGATTTTATCCTATTCTGTTTCTAGGAATAGTGCAGGTGTTTGGATCGATGTGGGAAAAGTGCTTCGGATGCACAATCAGAGGCTTACTGTACTTGCTAACAGTTTCTTAAAACAGGCATGCATTTTTCTGGGTTTGTACTTTTTTTTTTTTTGCCTCACTACCATGTGAGCCCAGAATAGGTGCAGCTGCTGACAGGAACAATGAGCATGTCCATGCCTGATTAGAAACACCTTTCTTGTTCTGGATCCAGATAATTTCATATCCCTATTTTTATATACGTTTCTAAAATAACAGTGCCACCTAGTGCTCTTATTCTCTTACAGGGCACTTCACCATAACAGCTGCATATTCCAACAGTATGAATGAGTTTATGGGTACACACACTCTCCACTTATTTGCAGTTGTTATGCATCTTGACAAATAGGATTCTCATATCCTAGGACCATTTATGTTCCATCTTATGAAAAAAGGCAGTTCTGAAAGGAAGGGAAAACGTGCACCTTTGGGCCATATCTGCATGTATATTTTGTGCATATTTTATAGAATCACAGAATGAAAGTCTTAAAAAATACCTTAAGAAGCATTTTATCCAACCTTATGGCCAATGCAAGAGTATTCTACTACAGCACTTTTTTTTAAAAAAAGGTCATAAATCTTTGTTAAAATACTATCCGTGAAAGAGGTAATCTCTTCCATTGTTGAACATTACTTAAGAATTAACAACCAATATACACTCTTATTATTTTAACACATCTTTGGGTTCCTATTTTTGAAACAACTCTAATAATTCTGCCCATTATCTATTTGATGGCTCTCAGCTACTTGAAGTTAGCTTTCACATCTCCTAGCAATCTTCTCTAGGCAAAACATATTTAACACCTTCAACTACTCTTCTTTAATTTTTATTTCCATACACCTTATTAGTTGCTTTTATCTGGACCACTTTGCGTTCATCTAAAATGTGGAAAGCATATTCCAGTTATGTTTTCACCAACACAGAATAGAGAAATGATGATTTCTCTTGATTTTGATGCTACTTACAGTATCTGTCAATATAGCCAGGATTGCATTTTGCTTTTTTACAACTACATCATCCTGCTAGTCCACGTTAAGCCTGCGGTTCATTAAGACACAGGGAAATGAGTCTCATCATATTCAATGAACCATCATCCTTAGCTCATATGTATGAAGAAAACTGCCCTTTATTCCTTTTTCTAATGGATTTTTAGTATTGATAAATTTGCTATAAACAACTCATGGAAATTTTGCATTTAACAAATTGGGAAAAATACTTTATAAACACAATGTAGAAATTTATGGTATTGATACATCTTTTTTCATGTTTGATGAACCTACATGATAAATGATAATGATAAATCCTCGAATTTCTGCCTATTTGGCTTTTGCAGAGCTGTGTCATCTTAAATATTTTGTGACTCAAAGTGAATGAAAAGTGTTGATGTGTTTTTGGAAAGGCTCATTGCTTTGATAATAAGTGTTGAATTTTGTTTTTTAAGTACAAATTATTTGGTATTAGCTGTGGAATCAGTGAGTCATTTTACTTTGATTTGGCTCTTTCAGTTGAGTTGTTCAATTCTGTCACAACAAAATTTGATTCCTTTAGCCTGCAACAAATCCCCTAAATAATTTTCATAAATTATTATTGTAAAGATTATTGCCACATATGAGCTATGATCAATACCTTCTAATGATTTATTGATGTAGAATTCAGATGAGCTTACTTAATATTAAATTAATTCTATCATTAATTGCAACTATAAATAGGAAAGGCTAAAAATCAATTCAAGATAAAAAGGGGTGACAACTATAAATAGTGATAAAATAACCTCCCATGAAAGTTGAATTCAATCTAGCTGTACCAGGGTAGGTTCTGGCTGACGTTACTGCCAATTTACTTGTGTGTGCACTTTGCGTGCATATGTGCAGTTCAATAAAAAATGTTCTGCGCATGTGCAGAACTAAAAAAAAAGGTGGTGGTGGCGACCAGAAAACCTTGCCCAACCTGGGTTGCAGAACCGGCAGCGACCCAGGCCGGCATGCCACTACCGGTTCAGCTGAACTGGGCTGAACTGGTAGGAACCCACCTCTTATGTGTAGGTCACCAAATTCAGGAAGGTGTTGTAATAATTATTCATGGTGAAAGTATACATGAATCCATGTTCAGAATGTTTATGGCTGAAAAAATTGACATTATATGAACTGGGAATCTTGTACCTGATCCTAAAGTGGGTGAATTATCAATTGTACCCAAATTGCAAGGCTTTTTCCATCACTGTTAAATTGTTGGGCTGGCATCTTGAAGGTTCTGTAATCTTTGTTCAGTGTGGGAATTATAGACTGAAACATCTCCAACAATAAAAACAGAAGTTTTGAAAACAGCATTCTCTACAATAATTGAATCAAGTGTTACAACTACTTTGGGAAGCTTTTTCCTTTAAAATCTATCCATCATCGTCATCACCATTATCTATCTTACTTCAAAACAGTTACTTTTAAGCCATGTATTTGGCTTATAATGTATCTGGCACCATCTTTTACTGATTCTAAGTCAACTTTTTGACCTATGTCAACTTTCTTAAGTATTTGGCTAGCCACATTTTCAGTTTAGGGTATATTCTTTGCCACTTCTCATTTTTTCCCTATACCCTTGCATTGCTGGTGCCCATTATCATGAAAGATCCTTCTAAATGCTTATTCATAATCAAACCTTAATCAAAGATCCTCCAGAACATTGTATGCAATATATATTTACATATATGTTACATATAGCATATGTTACATATGTTATATCCTCCAGAACCTATATGCAACATTTTTACAGTGAGAAAGAACTCAAATATCCAAATTAGAGTGATTTAAAAAGTTTTACATTCCCATGTAAAGTAGACAATAAAGCACATTAGCATCTTGATAATAATTCTAAAACAGAAATAATCCTATTCATTGAGACCCATTTTTAATTCACACCTTATTATTTTTCATTTCTGTTTTGACCTGGAAAACTAGATCTGATTTCAGGTGATGACTGCTCCCTTACAATCCTCCTGGAGTTGTTCTGATGCTCAATCATTTCTTTCTAGATATCATCATGCCACACCATTTATAATGAGGCCAGCATTCTCTATGTTGCACTAAATCTCCAGAGTTTAGTCTGGGTATCCATAGGCCATATAGCTTAAATTGTCAAAATGTAAGCTATACAAAGTAGAGAAACTGCATGACATTTATCCTGCCTGTCACTTCTGCATAAATAAATGTATTGGCTTGCTTCATACAGGATGATCCTCGGCTGCTGAAGCCAGAACTGAAAAACAGCTGCATTCTGCTATAGCCTCAAAGCTTTGCACAGCCAATCATAAGCTTTAGGATTTGAATGGATGTACATAAATATGTTAAGAGGTAGCGTTTCATAGAAATCAAAGCAATGGGGAGGCATCTATCTGGGGAGGTAAGCTACTTTTTATGTTGTCTAAGTTTCTGCTGATCTCTTTTTTTGCATCACTGTGTTTTCATAATCCATCATTACCATATTTCTGTGCTATGGAGGTTTACTTATGACGGGCTTTGGATCTTATTTATTATAGAGTAGGCAGATATCTATCAGAGAACCTAATTGCTTACTTGCTGTATTTAACATGCATGCATTTTGATTTTAGTAACCATTGCTTCTTCGACAAAAAAAAAAAAAAAAATCACAGAAATGTGGTACTGCAGTTTTAACCTAAAAAGCACTGCAGTATATAAAAAAATTGTATCCCTGCAGCAAAGTTAGCTAATCAGTTTTATAAATGTAGCAAACGTTAACCTTTTTATTACAGCATCACAATTGTTCATTGAATTTCTTTTACTCACCGTGGACGTGAATTATTCTATCATGCTCCAGAGTGAAGTTAGCAGCATGATGCTCAACCCAGCAGAAAAAAATCAGCACCAGAAAAAGTAGACTCTTCATCTTTTATAGTCAAGAATCTTCTTCACTGCAAAAAACATCAGATGAAAAAGAAGGTGTTGGCACCTGGAAATCTTATTAGGGACGCTTTATACAGTTTTTCTGAGTTCCATCCTTCTCTTATTATTGCTCATTGTTTTGTGCTTGTAAAATGACAGAGCCACATAATTAAGAAATCTTATTAGGAATGTCCTCTTTGTCAGGAAGTTAGCTCTACAATTAATTGGTGACCAAATGACATGTACTGTTGGGTAACTCTGCCCATTAAGAGAGTAATTGTCATTTACAAACCATAAAAAAATAAGTAAAGATTGTAATCCTTAAAGGTCAAGTGGACTCCGGTTTAAGTATTCAGAACTATTCTGTTTGTATCCATTAAACAAAAACATACTGTAACTTGGCACAGAATATAAATACTGTTTTGCATCTTGTGACTGTTTTTGCACCTTAGTTAATTTAGCATGGAAGTGCAAGTTCTTCAACTGATCCGAGAGGCAGACTGCAGAGGCATGCTGTCTTATAGAGGAATACTCACCATTTCATAGCTTACTCTGCAGAGAAAATGTTGAAAACCTACATAAAACAGGTTAGAGTTGCAGGTTACACTACTGCAGCTGCCCTGACTGATTTGTATTCATTTCTATTTAGAATGCTGACGCATGAAATTATTGTGTCAGTTAGGGTCCCTGCAGTCAGCAGAGCTGCTGAGAGCTGCAGGATAATTATCTGCAGAGGAACAATTAAGAAAATGAAGGCCTGGGATCCATAGGAAGGGATATAATTCAAGATTTCCTAGGCAGAAGATTCAGTTTGGCATTTCTTTTTTAATCAGAAACATTTTCTGCTTATTTATTCTACCCATATTTTTTTTTAGCTGAATCCATGACTTGCTTTTTGCACAGAGTGGTGGTATGAAAGTACATCATTACCTCTGGCACTGAGCTAAATCACTGAATTAACATTGTGAGGAATACCTTACAATGAGACTGAGCTAACATTTTGAGGAATACCATTGCTCTGACAGAACGTTTTTGCTCATCTCAGAATGAAATTATAGTTTAAGGTCAGGAAGTTTTGTTTTTCTATATATTTCTCTGTGTGTATATGTACTCCATATCCTGTTGACTTTTGGCATCTACCTGGAGAAATCCCTGCATGGCAAGATTTTGGAAGTGGTTTGCCATTGTCATCTTCATAGGGCCAGAAAGAGGAATCTAGCTGGTTATGCCCATGGGAGGACTAGAACTCCTAGTTCTCCAGTTTTTAGCCTCATAGCTTAACCACTATATCAAACTGGCTCTCAAGATTAGGGTGAGAAAGTTCAAAATAAAATTTATCTAGTGTGGAACTTAACATTAGATGTTTATCCACTAAATACACTTACCTACAATGGCTCAAGAGAAAATGGAGACCAAATAGCTTATTCAATAAACCCTTTTCTATGACTATTTATCTTGAGCAAAGCTATTATGTATTATACAGTCAGGCACAGAATAAACTGCATGTGGGAATCCTCATACATGGAGGCATGTACAGAGAAGTTTATAACCGTATTCCCTATGTCAATGTTTTTCAAACTGGCATTCTCCAAATGTCTCCTCAACTCCCAGTATTTTCAGCAATGGTACTGTGTTGACTGAAGCATTCTGAAAGTTGAAATCCATGCCCACTTGGGAAAAGATAATTCAGCACAATTGATTCATAAATGTGTGGTTTATACTATGCAAAGCATAGTAAAATAAGCCTTGTCCTCACAATACATTGTGATCTTCCATGAACATAGCCTTCAAATGTACAGAAGCTGAAAATATTTAATACATTTAAAATTGAGGACAGCAGAAGACAGCATTTATTTGCTCTTTTTAAAATTATATATTTTTTTGTTTTTATAATTTCCACATCGTTTCATCATTTTTTCAGTCATTCATCCTTAGCTTCCAAATAGCCTGAATAATCTATAGTTGTTCATAGGTTTCTTTCTGTATTAGATGACTGAAAAAAGTGAGGAAAACTGTACTAATGGGAAAAGTATAAAGTTTAAGGGGAAAAAATAACAATAGTGCCAAAAAGTCTTCTGGGTTTTGAATCAACCAGATTCTGATTACAAGACAAGTATTATACACATTGAGCTATTACAGCATTCATAGGTAAGATATTACAGAGTATGGGAAACATTGATTCATTTGCAGAGATGTTCCTGATTCTGCATATTAAAACTGCTCAGGGTAGCCTACATCAAGGTCAAGTGTTTTCTTCAAACCCCAGCAATGCTTGAGGCAACAGAATATGGAACAGTTTACTTCAGAAGTGAAGCATAAAAACATGTCCCTGGGGAGCTAAAGTGGGGCAATGTTTTCCACTTTTGCCTTCCAAAACTTTCTGAGACAAGGAAATCTGATAATCTGGATAAGCTTTTAGGAGTCAGGTCTTGCTTGAACTCTGAAGCTGGAGCAATCAAATGGGTGTAGGCACTTATCATTGCAGGGGAAAAAACCTGTAAGCTTTATTTTGGTTTCATTTAGGAATCATAATATTCTTGTTATATAAAAACCCATAACACATTCATAGAACAACACAACCCTGACATTTGCCTTTAAAAAGGAGATGTTTAAAGATCAGATTAATACTAGTTTGTTTCAGATAGCACAGTTCATACTTATTATTCCCAATTTTCAACTGATTGTAAGCCTGGGGAATTGAAACAGAACTGGAAAAACATGTGGCACACTTCAAAGTACCCCTTTGTTCTGATTCACTGTCCCCTTCAAGAGAAGCTTGTTTTCAGAATTTGTACATTAGTGTAATTGGTTGCACTTTGCCAACAGACACACTATTTGAAAGACTTCTCAGTTTCCATTACAGTCGCAGGTTTTTGTGCCAAGAATATACATGAAGTTCTGGAACATCATAAAAAAGTAAGTCTTGTGATTCTAATAAAGCATACTGATTTGAACAGATTTCTTCTTGTTTACTAGAAATTGAACTGATTATGGGTAGGAAATGTAGAGATGTACAAAACCATTTATTTATTTATATTTGCCATTCCTTGCTTTCTAAAATCAATGTTTAGAATGACTCAAAGTTTTCTCTTTCCAAATAATTTGCTACAAGGGAAGAATTTGTTTTTCAACTGAAAAAACAGTTCTACAAGTAGATTTATTGCTAGCTGGTGATTTCCAATGATCAATTAACATGCACAAATGTTATTGCTAGTGTAATAACATATTTTTAATTTAAAATTTGTACAGCTACCCATTTTAAAACCAATTTTGTGCAGCTTACAAGCAATAAAACAATATAAAACCACCAACAATGAATTAAAAACAGAAACACCTGGTGTTATCAACCACACTTTCTGGTCATTGTCCCTTTCCAATTCCCATTCCCTACATTTGTGGGAAAAGTCAGGTCTTGAATGGTCTCTTGAAGGATAAAAGAGTAGGGGGCTTGTCCATAGAGCAAAGGGTGCATGGTTAACAATGGGTACACTGTGAAACATATATTTGAAAGTACTTACTACAAGTTTTTGTGATAGATTTAAGTTAATATATTTTATTTTTTTAAAAGTTAACATGGGATGTTTTTCCATCTAAGACATGATTTGGCTCTTGTTGGGTTTCAGCTAAAGATGTGGGTGTACAGTTTACTGGGGCTAAGATCACTGACATCAATGGGAGAAGGTGTCAAAAAGGCAAGATAGTAACCATGGCAGCATGAGTGAAGTTGAACCACTCTCTATATGGACAAAGGGTGGGGCTTGGAGAACACTCACTGACTGCCATCTTGGCATTTTTTTACTCCCTTATTCCACCATGGAAGCTGATGTTTGCAATGCATATTAACATTCTCTCTTCCTCCTCTTCAGTCTTTGCAGAACCAGTCTCCTTTGCTACTGCCTCATGTACTAAAATATGGAACCATTCATTCATAATGAATATTCAGCGTAACTACTCAGATAATAAATGAATTGTAAGACAGAAATAAGATGTTTTATGATTGCAAGAATTATGTCATTTAAAAACAAATTGTGCCGTATGTAGCACCCAGCAGGAAACAACAATTGGCTAACCTTGTCCCTAATCAGAAATGAAGCATGGTTAGGCATAGGATTTAGCCATTCACCTCTTCCCCTTTGATGTTTTTGTAAGGCAAGAACAGATGACTGTTGCTCTGTTCTCCACACTTCCCATCAGAAATGTAACTTCGAGATGTATTTTTCTGCTGTGAATTTAAAGTGTTTTTTCCATTTAAATTGACTATTTGTTTTGGATGGCGTACTTCACTTTGCTACAGTTAATCCCAACAATTTATACCATATTTCACAAAAGGATAAATGCCACCATACTTAAAGGATTAACTTAGTTAAGTTTTCTACAGTTTTAATTATTTTTTCTCTTTTCTGTTCACTGCCCATATTTCCCTGGATACTTCTTTCTTTATTACCTAATTGCAATGATGCATCTCTTCATCAGTTTTCCAGTCACTTGAAATAGAAGGATTTCATGTGAATACATTAAATTACTCAAAAAATGATGAAACAATATACTACTGGACTGACCAAAGACCCCCCTCCCCCCAAAAAAGAAGCCCAAGGAAAAGTAGATAGCTTAGGGGAAAGAAAAAATAGTAATAAATATTTTTTCAGGTCTTTACCAGCAACCTTTTGTTTTCAAGGCAAGTGTTTATAATCTTTGCACTATTGTAGCATTACTATTAAAGGTAGATCCTGAAGACCTATAAGGCAGTTGTAAAGGAGTTTTATTTTAAAACTGGTTATTTTGTTTTTGTGCATCTGCATGGTGATGCTTTAACTCTGTATATAGATAAAACAATTCAATTTAATGAATTAAATTGTCTGTGTGACATACATAACAGAGGTGGGTTGCTGCTGGTTCGGCCCGGATCAGGCGAACCGGTAGTAGTGGTGGCAGGAGACTCCGCCCACCTGCCTGGATGCTTCTGTGCATGTGCACGAACTGGTAGTAAAAAAAATGAACAACCCACCTCTGATACATAATGTATACGTACAGTACACCAGGGAGGGTGATGTCACTGCAGTACACATATATATCTGGTAAGTCTTGCCAACTTGATGGAAGATGATTGGCAATTGCTTTCTTAGATCAGAAAGTTAAGACAGCTAAGAAACAGGGTAACATTCTAATAGAAAGGCTGTTTCAGTTTGGACAGAATTATTTTAAGATGGTTTAAAGATCAAGGAGGCAGAAACACAGGGCAGGAAGAATTTAATAGTTAACAAGAGAATACAAAGGGTTCTTAATTAATAGGACACTCCCCAAATATTCCTGAAGAAGGCAATGGCAAACAACAATCCATATTGTTGCAATTAAGTCACTGAGGCTCAAGCTATAATTGAAGGAGACTTACTTACTGAATAATTTTAAATTATGTAATTTGGAACATATAATAAAGAGAAAGAATACCTGTTATCATAGTCCAATAGAGGCAGACTAAAACAATAATTTTTATAGTTATACATTTTAAGTTTTTTCTTATATTAAAAATGAAAGTGGTCCTGCTTCAAAAATCATGATTCCATATCCAACCTGGTTACCCATTCCATAAAATTTCATATGATGGGGGAACACAGAGGATTTCTTGAGAACTAGTTTGGTTTCTTTCTTAGTTACTTACTTACTTACTTACTTAAAGATATTCATGTATCTTTCCAGTCCAGAACTCTGAGTGTATGATCAAACATTGAAATAAGTTCGGTGACAAAACAACAGTAGGAAACATTAGTGCTTTGAGCACTTATTGCAACTTATTGTTGCATAGATTTACTAATTTATTTGTAATTGTTATTTTTCAAAAAGAAAGAAAGAAAAGTCTGTTCTCTTAAATTTAAAAATAATTGCAAATAAATATTAATGATTAGTGCACAAATAGACAGAGATAGCCCATTCTCCCCATAGTGTTTCATTCTTTGCATATGTATATATAGAGAGATAGCATACTTTATCTAAAGAGATAATGAATGCTTCGAAATTTTTTTTTTTTGCCAGATCTGCCTTTTTTAAAACATGAGGGGCATGGACTAAGCATTTTCTTCCCAGCTGCAGCACAAGAAGCACTGTGCTCTGAAAACATGGATTCTGCTAGACCTGCATTAAAAAAAACAAACAACAAAAAACAGTGACCATAAAATCCTTTTTCATCATTTAAAGGAAATAGTTGAACACTGAGTAAGATGGAATCTTTTTCAGCACTCCTTTTTCACTTTTATCAATCTGCTGTTCTTCACAGATCCAACCTGCAGCTGTAGGGAATATGGTTGGATAAAGGACATTTATCCCTTCCCTTCTCCAACAGTTTTGCTGACATTCCTCTTTTTCGGAAATTTAGGGAAACATCTAACAGCTTCATTGGAAAACAGCTTCATCTGGAATTGCAAGGAGAGAAACACGCATCTCCTAGGATACCAAACTCTGTGAAAGGACAGTGTGCATGTGGAAGTGGAAGATGTCAAAAGGAGATGATATGGGTATGTGTGGAGTGGAACATTAAATGTGACTCTTGTAGTAGCCAACAAATTATGGAATTGAGAAATCGTCTGTTGGACTAAGGAATATGAAAACAGTACATTATATCTTTCAATCGCTATAAAATGTTCTATATGACATTGCTGTATTGAGGGGGGGGATAAAAAAAGCAATTAGAAAAGGATACATATAAAGAAAACAGGCAGGTTTTCATGCTAGTTTTCTAAAAATGTAAGATTATTATAGGATATAATCAGTGGTGAAATTCAAATTTTTTTACTACTGGTTTTGTGGGCATGGCTTGGTGGGCGTGGCAGGGGACGGATACTGCAAAATCCCCATTTCCTCCCAACTCCTGGTGGAAGCATATTGTGAAGTCTCCATTCCCATCCCACTCTGGGGCCATCCAGAGGTGGTATTTGCCGGTTCTCCAAACCACTCAAAATTTCCACTACCAATTCTCCAGAACCTGTCAGAACCTGCTGAATTTCACCCCTGGGTATAGTATATCAAATAAAATTTCAATTTATGAACTCATACTTTCTCTTTCCAATGCTATAGCAGTTCATTTGGAACTTTACCAGGCTGTGTTTTATCAAATAAATGTTGTTTCTGGAATAACTTCAAGCAGTCTTTATGTTACTCTGGGAAGTACTAGAAATGGATTAGTTATACTATTAAACACTATAATAAATTTGCAATTTTTCTGAGCACCAGTTTGGGACCTTGGTTCTTTTTTTTGTGGGGTCTGACCTTGTTCACATCTCTATTATACCTATTTTTCATTTTCCTTGTCTTTGATAGAATGAAAACATTCTCTTTTTCATAGATCTTGCATCTTCAAGGCAATTAAGGACTGTGATTTTACCCAGAGTTCACATGTGTAATAGATTTCATGGTTCCTAACTTTAATTAAAAAGTGGAGGTTTTTTGAGTTTATCCATTTTTCTTTTGTAACAAGAAGAGTGTGTAAAGAATCTGTCTATATACATATATATGTGCAAATTAAAACCAAGATTCTCTGCATTTGCAGTTAATATGGCAGTTTTGTTTTCGTTTGATAGCACCATAATCTTATAAATGATTAAATTTCATTATAACACTGAGAAAATGTCTAAGAAAATGTAATGGTGGCGTAGACTTTATGTTATCATAAAATTCCACCATAGACAATAACTTATGGAGCAGAAAAAAATGGCTGCCATTAAGAAGAGGGATCAACTTGTTTTCCAAAGCACCAGAAGGTAAGACAAGAAGAAATGAATGGAAACTAATCAAGGAGGAAAGCAACCTGGAATTAAGGAGAAATTTCCTAAGAATGAGAACAATTAATCAGTGAAACCGCTTGCCTTCAGAAGTTGCTCCATCACTAGAGACTTTTAAAAGAGATTGGACAGTTGAAATGGTATAGGGTTTCCTGCTTAAGCAGGGGATTGGACTAGAGGATCTCCAAGGTCCCTTCCAAATCTGTTATTCAGTTAATTGTCAAAGCTATATGCATTTAAAAATATTTTGCATGAATCTAAGCAAAATAGGATAATTTCAGGAACTGTGGTTAAATTCACAGATAGTTGTGGATAATAGAATGATGCCACAGAAGAGTGTCTTCACATAGCCTTTTGCTGCATTAGCAGAAGTTTGTTCATGTAAACTTTATGAAGCCCAAACTGATTTTTCCAGAAATGTTTTTATGAATGTAAAATTTTGTACTGAAATCTGGATTTTCTTTTAATTTAAATTCTTTAAATTTAAAAAAATGCATAGAATATATGATCTGTAATGCCAAGAAACTAATATTTTTCTTCCTTAAAATATTTCTACCTTATTCAGCATTTAAATGAAGTAAAAGTAAAAAAGGGAGTTGAGGTTTCAGACAGTTTTTCTAAACTAATGCAATCTTTGCACAGATGTAAACCCATGATGTTCAGTGGAAAGTAAGACATTCAAATAAGTGTGTGAAGAAAAATGCTTAGTAGAGTTTATAATGTTTATTTTGTATAGCAATGTTAGTGCTTTGGCCCTATTTAAATATTCCTTACAAATAATATATATCTTCTTAAAAATGCTTATTCTTTTCAGTTTAGATTTCTTGTCATATAATGCATATCTCTTGACAGGCATGTCGTAAGGAATGTAGGTTAAAATATTTCAATCAATTTATCTATTGCTATAAGGGTTATTTGATTGCAATCTTGTATATAATTATATTTAGTGAAGTAGTCTCACTACTGGGAATATTTAAAATGATAGATAGAAAGATGCTTCCAATCTTTTCTTCCTATGAAATCCCAGCTAGATAGTGCACAACAATCCATAAGAGAATTGTTTATAAAATGAACAATATTATCTAGTGCTAAATATTGACTTTATGCCCAATGAGTTACATCAGAAATAGGCAGATGATCATTTGGGATATACTAATAGAATCATGCTTTTCAACTATCAACAAGGATGCCTTGTTTACAAAGATTAAATAACAATATTATTTCCTCTTCAAATCACGCTGCCATAATGAAGTAAAACAGAAATAAACAGAAGAGGAATTTTTTTCAGGCGTGCAAGCTATGTTTATGAAATGTATAGAATTTTGAAAGGTGACTTAAAGGTGCACTAAATTAATAAATAAAATGTAGAAAGAAATAGTAAGCTATTTTGTAAAACGTTACTTTTGTTCACTTGCAGGCATTTTGGAATAGGGTTACCTTTCCTAATAATGTTAAAAACCTTGCATATTAGATAGTCATTTAGACCAGTGGTCCCCAACCTTTTTATCGCCGCGGACCAGTCAGCCTTTGATAATTTTACCGTGGCCCGCTGAGCGCGCGCAGGGGTAGGGGGGCGTTGTTCGTGACCCTGCGCCCCTGCCTGCCCACCCCCTCCGCCCACAGGGCTCCCGCGAAGCGGTTCTGGGCACTAGCCCAGAGGGCGGTCATTGGTTGGCGTCCTTCAGAGGTGCGGGGAAAGGTGCATGAGCCTGTTCAGGGTGTTCAAGTTCCGGCACGCCGAGGCCAAAGTGGCCCGCAAGGAGGTGGGTGGGCGGGCGTGGTCGTCAGCCGTGCTTACCTCCGGATCGTCTCCCCGGTGAACCGCCGCCCCCACCTGTCGGGACGGGCGGCGGTTCCCTCCTCGCCCCCTCCCCACGGTGGGCTCCATAGGGAGGAAGGGAGTGGCTCTGCCCTCGGCCTCTCGGCGATCCCACTGAAGAGGAACGCCGGCGCTTCCGGAGGCCCGCCCGGCTGCCGGCTGAGCCATGCTCGCGTGGGCGCCTCCCGAGACACGGTCAGGCCTCGCCCAGGGGAGCCACGGCCGCCCTCCCGGCTACTTCTTGGCCGTGGGGCAGCTCCAACGAGCCGAAGGGAAGTCGCCGGGACTGCATCCGGGGAAGCCTCGCCCTGCAAATTAGCCGGTCGGGGGGCGAGCAAGGCGGCTTCCCCAAGAGCCCCTCGCTGTGATGAGGCTGGCTGGGCTGGGACCGTATGCCCGCTGCCAACTGGGCTGGGGCCGCTCGGCAGGTGCCTTGTCGCTTTCGCTGCAGCCGGAAAGCGGAGCTGCCGGGGTTCGCAGGCCATGCAGCAGCGGGGGATGCGCCGAGCATCGCATGTGGCGAAGCCGGAGCCCTGGCTAGGGAGGGCGGGTTAGCCCTCCTCTCGGAGCCGGAAAAAGCTTCGAAGAGCCTCTTCAAGCGGAGCCGCCTTGGCCGCTGAAGCTTCCGGCTGCAGAGGAAGCGCCCGAAGAGCTGTTTCTGCGAGGCTCCCGTTCTCTGCGTTGACGCCTGTTTTGTTCTCGGGGCTTCCGTTTCCCCGCAGCGGGGCCGCCTGGGACAGCGAACACCCGGCTTCCGCGGCCCGGTGCCAGGTACTCCGCGGACCGGGGGTTGGGGACCACTGATTTAGACCATTGTAAGCATATTTTTGTCTGTGAACATGATCACATAGAAAGTCCACATATGTTTTAAATACAAATAGCCCTATCCAGCATTCTGTAAAATTTAAACAGTCTTTTCAGTGAGTAATGTGATTTTCTTTTTCTTCCATTCAATTTTGTCCAATTCTCAGACAAGTCCTAGACAAGTCCCTGCCATTTTCTTGGCAAGGTTTTTTCAGAAGTGGTTTGCCATTGTCTCCCTTCTAGGCAGAGGTGGTATTAAGCCGGTTCAGAACGGTTCAGGCGAACTGGTAGTGGTGACCTGCGGATAGGCCCACTTGCCCATCTGCCCTGGCACTATGCCATCCTATTTAGTCACGTTTTCTAAGCCACACACGTGCATGTAAGCCAAACGTGTGCAAGCAAAGTGCATGTGTGGAAGGCGCGCATGATCATAAAGCAACCAGTGGTAAACCTATGTGAAACTCACCTCTGCTCCTTGGGTTGGGAGAAAGAGACTGGAGCAAGCTGCCTTTGTGCCTAAGGTGGGACTGGAACTCAAGGTCTCCTGGGTTTTAGGTTGATGCCTGAACCGCTACATCAAATTGCCTCTACTAAAGTAAATTGACTTTATTCAATAAGACTAAAACAATTCCTTTAATTCTTGCTTTTAGAGAAAGAAGAAATCTACTGTTCAACGAAATCGAGATATTTTAAGGAATCCTTATGAACAGTCAATCTTGATAAAATATTAATCATGTGCATGGAGAAGAATCTGTGTCAGTGGATCACGTCTCTTTTATATGAAGCTGAAGGGGGCAGTGAAAAAAAGAATCTGTTGCATCTGTGTCACCGTTCTCATTTCTTCAAACTCCCACAGAAATCCTTTTACAAATCTAAAACTGCAAACATGGGGAAGGAAGTCTGCAGTGAAAGAATCACCCCATCTCAGAAGACCACAACGATTTCACAGGAGGGGCAGTACAGCCTGAAGCTCTGGACTTTTTCAGCAGTGGTCTTTTGTGTTGTGCAGCCTCCTAAGGAAGCAGCAATAGAAGATTATAAAAGAGCTCCTCTGGAAATGCTTCATCAGGAACGAGGGAAAACCCAGAAGACTATTTGGTGTTAATGAACAAACACAGAAAAAATGGTAAAGGTACATTGCATGCCTTTTGGCTTTTGTCATCCTTCAGAACAAAGGATTCATGGATGCTATGCTAACTGAAAGAATTAATTACTTTAGAAGTCTTCATTAATCAGAAAAAAAATAATGCCATTGATTTTAATTCCAAAGCTAAGTTAGCACTATATTGGTAATATGATAATATAATTTGGCTGTTACTTTGATAACTATGCTCTCAATATTTCCCTCCATACAATGCCAGAGCAAATAACAACACATGTGTTTAAGCAGGTCAACAGCCTCTTGTACAAGGATCCTTTTCTTTATATATTTCTGGTTCTCTATCAAACTAAATCTGACACCTAGTAGTGCTTCTTCTTCAGACATCAAATCCACATTCATATACGATCATAACAGTATCAGTCCAATAATCCACATGATCTAGCATGTTGTATTTTCACATGACAGAAAACTATGTTATTAACATAGATGTTTCTACACCCAAGTGATATTTTTGAATACAAATTTATAATATTATTTTAGGTTCTATCCTTATAGTGTTTGGCTACCTAAATATATACAGATCCACTCAAACTCACTACAATGAGAGAAACCGTGATTTTAAAACAAACTTTTTGTGTAGATAGATCTGTGCTGCTAGACCTTGAAATATTGATATAATGGATGGCATTAAGGGAGAAGAGTTTTCCAACTTATTTATGACCCTCGAAATGCCTAAAAACAATGTCATATATATGTCACTGTATAGTTGAAGTTTCCTTCCAGGCATTTTAAGTAATGCTTATAAGTTGCTTCCACTTCTGGATAACTTTCAAGGCTTGGAAAGACTATAACAAGATGCAATGTCCTTTGAAGGTTACTGCAGACATGATAGCCTTCCTATTTTATGTTATTCAGAAGACTCTGCCAGCTGCAGACAGTTTGGGATGAGTGGCTTAGATGAAAGTTGTTATCAGAATCGCTTAATGATATTTAATTGGTGTTTTAAATTAATATTAAGGTTTGCAGAATTTTGCCCACAATAAAATAAAAGCTGTTAACCTGTCAGAATGATTCATGTGCCAAAGGTCCATTGGAAACAAGGCAACTTTATTTCAAGTGTGTGAATCTTCTGCTTGGTTAGTAGTGCCTGAAAAAACACTTTTAATAAACATTTAACAAATGGGGACAGCATGAGAAAAGTCATAAATCCAAAATTTTCTACAGCTATCCAATTAATAAATTCATGACCAAAATGCGACGGAGGAATAAATAAATAAATAAATGACTGGCTGGGTAGATTGTCTATTTTATTCTAAACAGAATTTAGAATTAATTGCTAAATAGAAAAATATATCTGTGTTTATATGCGTACAGATTTTCTGAATATTTCTTTTTAAACGTAGTGTAAATTATTGATTATTTGTGATAAAAGTGTCAAAACTCACTGTATTCAGTAATGCATTAATATAAAAGTAGAAACGTGATTCAATATCTATTTGGCTATAACTATTGATGTAGATTACTGTTATCTCTATATTATTTATGAATCTGACAATGTAACAATTTCTAACATGCATATAACAATATAACATGCATATATGCTTAATCCACGTAGTCTGAATGACTCATGCAACTATTGAAACTGTTAGGGATAGCATTATAAATTGAGATACATGATCAAACTATAACAATAAAATTGTATAAATGTTTTAAGTGTAAGTTTGTCATATGTTTAGAATAATAAGCAACTTACAGTTGCTAGGCTTAATAAAGAAGATACTACTAGGAGAGATTAAAAATATATCAATTGGTGGTATTTGCTTGGATTAGCACTATTCATTCTTGTACATAAGCATTTAATTTAACTATGGATGACAACATGCTGAATAAATTGCATTTAAGCAAATTTTTGTTTGCTGTTTTTTTTCTTCTGGAAAAAAAAGCCTCATAATCTTCTTTTGACTGACAAGAGTATTAAAAGTTTCCCTAGTTTAAGAAAGCTTTTGGTTGTCATTTTACTAAATATAATAGTACAGTTGTGATGTTTGGAAGCAAAGGATAAGGATAACAGACAGCAAAGCATAATATTAGATGATGACCAAAATTAGGTATCCACATGCCCACTTGAAGGCTCAAAAGTAATTTATACATACAAGATTATAAACATCTATGTTTCCTATATTAAGATCCCTCCAAATGGTATATGTGTTTGCATTTCTTCAAGTTTATACTGTATAGTATGTATGGGAAGATGTTATAAGAATAGTGGATAGAAATAATCTAATCTCCTTTCCTATCACACACTTAAAATTCATTGAACCTATGAAAGAGCAGTTATGGGGAGAGATTTTAGATAGGTTAGTCAACAAATGGCATTGGTCTTAGTCATATTTGAATGATGAAACATAGAAAGTGGAAAGGTACAAATTGTGAGCCACTTCTGTCAGTTGTCATCTGAGTCTTCACGCAGCTCTTCCATTTGCTCCCTGGGAAAATAACTTTCTAGTTCTAAATGACAGTACTGATTATCTAGAGCAAGGGTGTCAAAATCGTAATGACATGTCATCATGTGATATATTGCAACTTTTTCCCTTTGCTAAAATGGGGCATGGCCAGAAGGCGAGACATCTAGCCCTCAGGCCACGAGTTTGACACCCCTGATCTAGAGAGTATACTGACTGGTGTTATATGTGCTAACTCTAGCTGTAAAAAAAGTAAGGCTCCCATATTTTGTGTTACTTTCTGATACTTACAAAAAAGAAATCTATAGTGAACTCTCGTGACCATATAGTTTCCAGGTATGTGCCTAAAGGTGTCAGCTGCTTCCCCTTTGAAAATAAATTAATCTCTCAGAGCATAAACAAGATAAAATTTTATTAAATGCAATTGTAAAAATTCTTTTATCTTTAAATATTAATACTTTGTTAATGTTGCAAAGATAAATTATAACGTTTTCTAATCTTTGTAGCCAGTAACCTCAAATGAATGAAACAAAGAATAAAAATAAACTTCCTAATTTAGGCAGACCCCAAGGTGGTTTTTATCTACTCCCTATAAAGGAAAACTTTAAGAGAGTCCCTGAAGGTCTGGTTCAAATTATGATTAAAATCTGTTGCTCTTTCTTTGCCTTTCAAAAACTGTAACATTAATTTTTAAAACTGTTGATTGTTTTTCATATTACTATTTTTAATGTTTTAAAAAGTATGTGTTTCCCATGGTCACATTTTGGGAGGTGGATGGTTATATAAATATAGTAACTAAATAGTGAGAAAATAAATAGAATTAAATTATTCAAAGAATAAACATAGTGAAAGCGTGGATGCAAGTGCACACACATATACACAACTACAAACAAATATAAATTAGCACAATTCTAATTACCCATATTTTTCGGAGTATAAGACGCACCAAGGTTTTGAAAAGGGAAATTAAAAAAAAAAGTAGGTAGGTAGATAGAGGGATAGAGATGGAGAGAAAGAGAGAGAAATACAGTAGGTAGGTGGGGAGAGAGAATAGTTAGGTAGGTAGGTAGATAAAGGGATAGAGAGAGAAATAGAGAGAGATATAAATACAGTAGGTAGAGATTAGGTAGGTTGGTAGGCAAAGGGATATATATATATATATATATATATATATAGTAATATAGTAGATATGTAGGGAGAGAGTAGGTAGATAGGTAGATAGGTAGATAGAGGAGAGAGAGAGAGAGAGAGGGAGAGAGAGAGAGAGAGAGAAAGAGAAATACAGTGAGTAGGTAGGGAAAGAGAGAGTAAGATAGGTAGGTAGATGTTGCCAGGTGTATTTATCCATGTGCTGGAGAAGGAAATCGCTGACAATCTGCAGCACCTACTTTGTTTCTGCTGGCACAGCACTTGATCAATGCAATTCTCATCAATCAGTTAAAGAGCTTTCCAAAAGGGAAAAAAGAGTTTTTTCACTCTGCAAACCTCCCCAAAACAGCCAGTTTTTCGTGAAAACAGGCCCTGTTTTATTTTTTAAAAAAGGCATGAATAGCCTTGCCGGGGGGGGGGGGTTGCAGAGTGCTCCTGGGGAGTTTGGGGGGCCAAAAACGAGCAAAAAATGCCCCCTTTTTTCGTCAAAATTTTTTCATGCATAGCCTTATGGAAGCTTACAGAGTGCTTATGGGGGCTGGGGGGAAAATGGCCCATTTTATACTCTTTTCTGCCCTCCCCAGCCCCCAGGAACTCTCTGAAAGCTTATCTCTATGGAGATAAGGGTATGCACAGCCATTTTGGTGAAGGGGGTGGGGCTTCAGGAGGCAAAAAAAATGCTGTATTCGATGTATAAGATGCACCCAGATTTTCAGCCTCCTTTTTGAGGAAAAAAGATGTGTCTTATACTTCGAAAAATACGGTACACATTTATCTATGTCTACCCAAAAAACCAAACTCTTGAAACAAATATTTCTTCTGATTTCCATCTACATGAATTTCCTTTCCCTTAGGATGTTCTAAATTTTAATCTGGGGCCTATTTTCTATTGCAGCATACAAATTCTTCCTTATCTTCCTCCTGAATTTTGTCTATAGTCTCTCTCAGATACTCTTTCTCTCCCCTACCACACACACAATTTTTTTTTTCTCCTGGACAGGGAGCAAATCTGCTTTTTGTTTACATGTGAGCCTGAGATAAAGGTGTACATCCCAACCAATGTGCTATTTGCTTTTAGATGCCAAATAGTAAATTCAGGATGACATGTATAAAAGATGGAATCAGGGATTCTTTCCGTAAGTTCTGATGTTATTGGAATCATACAATAAGATTGCAGTTGCTGTCTAAATCTTCCACAATAACTTGTTAATTGAACAATGAGTTGAACTCATGCATATATGCTACATCCATTCATTTAAATGTCATTATTTAATTCAGTAAATATTAATTATTTAAAGCAAATTTCAAATTGTCTAATTTGTTTATTTTTAAAATAATGATTATTTTAAAATAATAATGATTAACTGTTCTTTGTGAGGGACAGTGTGTATCACTGATGAACCAACACAATATCTCTAACTGAGAAATGCTGATTTTAATTATTTCACCAATTCATGTAAATCTATATCAATCATTAATAGAATACCGTTTTAAAACACCCTTGAAGGGAAATGCTGTCTTATTTACTTCAAATGGTCAGATTTTTGCAAGATATAAGTGAAACGCAAGACTTTTGCTTTGCTTAATTATTTGATCCACTACAGAAGAATATGTAGGTAGAAAAATAATATTTTTGTTATCTTTCTCAACACATGAGAGGATATGCATATGCTTTCAGGCTGTTTACTTGTATGCATTGTATGTTTATGTCTATTTACTTATATGCATTGTATGTAGGTATATACTCTTAAGGCTCTGAAAGTATTTTGAAGACAGCAAGGCTTTAATGAAGTTGAGATGAGAACAATATTGCTTATTTCTCAAGGATATTTTATTTATGATTATGCAACATATAATGAACAAAATTAGAAACTTATGTCAATATGTTTCTTCAGCAAGTCAAGGCATTAGAGTCTTATTCTTTATTGTATATCCATCAATAGTAAAAATGCAGATATTATAATAATTGAATGTCTCACCTTGAGTGAATAGAAATTAACCACTAGAAGCAGAAAAGGTCCATAAGAACAAGCATATACAGGAAGGTATAATGTATGTAAGAGAGAGAGAAAGAAGGCAGAAGGGTGAGAGAGGGAGGAAATTCCTGCTTGGAACAAGTGATTTCTAACAGATGGATTTTAGGGATGACTTCCAAAATCCACCAAAATGCCTTGGATGTTAATGGCTACATTCCATAAAGCAGTAAAACCAGTATAGTTGTGTTTAACTCAGATCAATCTGGTAAATATCTACATCATTTCCAGGAAGAATTCAATTTATAGATCACTCTTTATACATGTACTAGAAGGGAGGATCCAGAATCACTGTTAGAAGTCATTTTTGAATAGAAATGTTTATGGATTTATTTCAAAGCTTCGTTGGTTAAAATGAATTTTACTCATTGAAATGAGTGCTGTTTCCAGGTAATTTAGGTAGAGGTGTCAAGACAAAGCAGTAGGCAGGGTAAGCCAACAATAGTAAGCACAGGTATTTTGATAACAATCCTAAATAATTAAGGAAGTAAATAAAGACACAGAGCTATGCAATTACACTAAATAGCTTTATGTATTCAGAATACACAGGCCTTAACTATAGTTTATGAGGTAGCCTTTTGTTATGATATTGGCATTTTTAAAAATGGAAACCATGCTGACATATGGAAGCAAACACTTCTTAGTGTTGAATTTTATTGTCAAGTGACCATATTGTTATGGTTCCCCCCCCCCATTTCAGGACAAAATAGGTGCCTTTTCTTCAACAGTGATCATATTGATTGCTACATTTCCTTTTCTGGAGGCTGTCACTTTTCTATCTTCAATCACAGAAGGGGAAATAAATTGAGCACTACCCAAAACTTTTTTTTCATTCCATTTGCTTCTTGATCATAGTATCTATTAGCTTAATACAAAGCACAGAGATCAGAACTTATAGAAAGCAACTGAAACTGATGGACAAGAAGGTCGCTAACCTCCATTTCTGAGTGTAATGGTATATTTAACTTTAAAAAAACCAAAACTCCTTTCAGGTAAGATGGATATTTTTATATAATTTTCTTCAGCAGTGAAATAATGGAAAAGTCTAGCATCATACATAATCAGGTATTGCATGATGCTCCAGCTGCACCAGTATAGCATCAAACATGATCAGGTATTGAACACACACACCTGAAATCTGTTTTTGTTA